GGCCGCAGCGGCCCCGCACCCCGGCGCCTGGCACTGCAGGGTCCCGGTACCCCAATACGCCGGTACCCCGATACCCCGGTACCCCAATACCCCGGCACCCCAGGACCCCGCACCCAGGCTCCCGATCCGGCTGTGCCGCAGCCGCTGCGGGCCGTCCCCTGGGCTGCCCTGGCCCCCGCTGCCCTCGCCCTGGCCCTTGCTACCCTCGCCGTGGCCCCTGCTGCCCTTGCCCTGGCCGGCCTCACCACGCGTCCGGGCAGCTGGGCTGCACCCCTGGCGCTCGCCCTGCCTTATTTAGCACCGCGCCCTCTCCTTCCTCACCGCTTTCTTGGGAATGTCTATTAATATCGAGGAACGAGTCCAGCTGCTGCCATCGCTCTGCCCCTGCTCGCCTGCTGCACCCTGCTCCAGCACCCCGCGCCCTGCCCGGGCTCGGACGGGGATCCCTGCGCTCCCCTGGGCCCTGGCAGGTCTGTGGGGGCTTCTGCACCCAGTGCCCGGGGGCCCCAAAGCCTCCCCAGCCCCTCCCTGCCCGGCTGCTGGGCAGGGTGGGATGCACGGGCGGCTGGGCTGGCGCCATCCCCAGCTCCCACCCGGGGAATGGGGGTCCCGGCAAAACCAGGAGCCAGGGAACCTCCTGGATGTCCCCGGTGCTGGGACCTTGTGGGACAGGGTGCTGTCAGCCCGACTCCACCGCAGACCCGAGCACCCGTGCAACCCCCTCAGAGCACTGCAGGGCACGGGCCACTCGGCCAGCGTGTCCCCAAAGCCACTAGCCCTGGCAAAGGTGGCTGGCATGGGCTGCAGTGTGTGAGGGCAGAGCCTTCGAGGAGGTGCCCGGGCAGATTTCCCACTCTGCCAGCAGCACATAAAGATGGGGTCTTTTCCGGACCCAGGAGCCGGGTGCCAACAGTGCCAGGGACCCCGTGCTGCAGTGGGTTACGCCCCGCACCCCCTCAGGGGCTGCGTGCCCCGGGCCCTGCCAGGGGTCCCTTCCTCTTCTGGGCTGGGGTGCTGCAAGGCAGCTCTGCCCCAGCCCACCCAAGCAGAAAATGGGGGTGAAGGGAGGGGGCCAGAGGCGGCGGGGCAAGGCTGGGGCCCCCGGGGTCTTGCGGCGGTGAGGGAGGGGATGCTGCGCTGGGGGAGCCTGGCCCGGCGCCAGGAGCCTGCCCCAGGCTGGGCTGTGGGTTCGGCAGGGGAGCGGGTGATGGTCGGTGCCCACGGCACTGGGGCAGACAGCTCCGGACAGGGGAAGCCCTGTCCCCCTTGCCTGGGTGATGCTGGTGGCTCTGGGGCTATTTTTAACCCCCTCCTTGCTGAGCTGCCCTGGGCGGGGGGGTGCTGGGGGGCAGCAGAGCCTCCCGCCTGCCAAGGCTCCAGTGTCCCTCCCCGCAGGGCTTGAATTTCTATCCCGGCTTCAGACCCACGTTTAATCCCCAGCTCTTGGCCAATAACGCTTTGGCTAAATTAGGTAAAATGCGCCCGTTGCCAATGAGCAGGGCTGGATTGCCACCGGGGAGCTGATAGGCTGCCGGGGCCCGGGGGCCAGCGGCTGGGGGCACGCTGTGCGGCGGGGACGCTACAAATTGGGGTGCCAGGGGCACCAGGGAGCTTCTGGGGACTTCTGCTGCAGGAGGTGGTGACTCCCTGGGGGAGAGAAGCAGCAGAAATGGCTTCAATGGTAAGAGCCCCAATGCTGCCGCGAGCCGCGTGCCGCGTGCCATGTGCTGCGTGCTGCATGCTGCGTGCCACGTGCTGTGTGCCAGGGCAAGACCCAGCAGGGCAGGAGGTGCCGGGGACCGCACACGCCTGGGGGATCTGGGCTGCCGAGGCGCCTCTGTGGGTGGCAGCAGGGGGAACGGTCCCCACGGCCAGGCAGGCTGCAGCGGGCGAGGGCAGGGAGGCGTTAGGGTGGTGCAAGGTCCCCGTGGGACATGCCCCAGGGAGGAATCGTGTGGCTGCCCAAGGGGCATGGGCACCCGGGGACCCTGGATCAGCCCCGGCCGGAGCTCGGGGCTGTGCGGAGGCGGCAGTGGCAGGGGGCGGCTGAAAGCTGAGTGCTGGGTCATGCGACACGGCACCGCCGCCGGCTCCGCAGCCAGCTCGCGCCTCCAGGAGAAACTCGATCGGGGCCAACAGGTGCCCGTGGCCGCAGCCCCACTGATCCCTATAAGGGGAGCCAAGGAGATCCCAAAAATAGTGCTGCGTGCCTGGGATGCCAAGGCTGCACCCGGAGACCACGGCCGCTGCACCATGGAGCCCCCCTGGCTGGCGGGGGGCCCCAGGCAGGCAGCTCCCCATCGTCCACTGCCCTCGCAGGTGCCTCAGTGGCACCGCAGCTGCAGGGACTGCTGGGGACTGCGGCTAGCTCCAGCATGGCCCTGTCCTCCAGCTGGGCAGGGTTCTCCCCGCACCCCTGCGAGGGGCTCCCGGCCGTGCTGTGGGCAGCCATGGTGACCCTGCTCCCTTGCCTTGCAGACGGACCAGCAGGCCGAAGCCCGCGCCTTCCTCAGCGAGGAGATGATCGCGGGTGAGCATGGGGGCAGTGGGGAGAGGGGCCGTACCCGGCTGAGGCACGGGGCCAGGCTCTGTCCTGCTGCCGTGGCCCTGTCCTGCACACTGCCGGGCCCTGACCCCCCTTCCCCGCAGAGTTCAAGGCCGCCTTCGACATGTTTGATGCGGATGGCGGCGGGGACATCAGCACCAAAGAGCTGGGGACGGTGATGAGGATGCTGGGCCAGAACCCCACCAAGGAGGAGCTGGACGCCATCATAGAAGAGGTGGACGAGGATGGTGAGCGGCTCTCGGTGACGGGCAGCGGGCGCTGGGTGGGCAGCCTGACCCATGCTCGGCTTCCTCCCCACAGGCAGCGGCACCATCGACTTCGAGGAGTTCTTGGTGATGATGGTGCGCCAGATGAAGGAGGACGCCAAGGGCAAGTCCGAGGAGGAGCTGGCCAACTGTTTCCGCATCTTTGACCGGTGAGTGGAGGGCGATGCCTGCCCACCCCTGCCCATGGGGGTGAGCGGGGCCACATCCTGTCCTCACCCTCCTGCAGGAACGCGGACGGGTTCATTGACATCGAGGAGCTGGGTGAGATCCTGAGGGCCACCGGGGAGCATGTCACCGAGGAGGACATAGAGGACCTGATGAAGGACTCGGACAAGAACAACGATGGCCGCATCGACTTTGATGGTGAGCAACGACCCTGGCCCTCGTCCTGCGGCTGCCCTGGCTGAGCACCCGTGCTGCCCACCCTGGGCACAGCCACGGACTGAGGGTGCTGCTCTCTTACAGAGTTCCTGAAGATGATGGAGGGCGTGCAGTAAGGGACCAGACATTCCTCGGGCCAGCCGCTGCACCCAGCCCTGCTCCACTGCCGCACGGGGAGCAGCAGCTCTGCAGCGCCCGGCCCCCGGCCGCCCGCACCATCTGGGACCCTGCCCCACGCCAGGGCCCCGGTCTCGCCCTGTCACCGGCGGCCGAGCTTTTCCTCCAGTCTGTCGCATGTGGTTTCAGTTTGAGCCTCATTAAAAGGGGAAAGGCTGGAGCTGCTGATGTGGGGTTTCTCTGGGTTGGCGTGGGGAGGGGGCTGCGGCACCGTGCCCCCCGTGCCGCTCCCCAGGGAGGGGGATGTGCCCGGGTGGGCACCCCACACCCCATGCCAGTCAGGGTCACCCCGTGGGGCCACACCGGGGGTGCGGGGGCAGCACAGGGCTGCGGTTCCCACGGGCTGCTGGGCAGGCGCCAGCGCTGAGCTCAGACTTTCCATGCGGAGCGGCCAGTTCACACGCCAGCAGGCGAGGGAGCGCAGCCCCAGCCCCGAGGGGTCCCAGTGGGCAGCGAAGCTCTGGGAGCCGGGGGGCTGCTCCTGCCCGCTCCAGGGCAGGGGCGTGGGACCACAGGGGATCCGGGGAGCCACCACTACCTGCCCAGCACCAGGAGCCCCGTGTCCCACCAGGAAGGGTGCAGGGGACCTGGCTACAAGGTGAGGAGGCAGCAGCAGCAGCCCCCTCCCTGCGGGGTCAAGAGGATGCTGGAGCCTCTGTGCCCGGACAGCCTGTACCAGCCCACCGTGCATCACTGCTCCCCTGGGACCCGCTCCTCCCTGGGCACTGGCAGCGGCTCCACGCAGCCTCTCCAGCCAGGGAGGAGCGCAGCAGGGGGGACACTCCCTGGGCTGGGGCGGGCGAGGACAGTGGGGCCAGCACTGTGCCGCTGGCAGGACGCAGGGACACAGCACAGCACCAGAGAACAGGGGAGCTGAGCCCCTTGGAGAGCTGGGGGCCGCTGCAGAGGGGCCCAGCCCTGCCCTGCCCTTGCGGGGAACAATGGCACTGCGGAAAGGGGACACGTGCAGCGCGCGAGGGGTGGCAGGGATGTGCGTGGCCGCCCAGGCTGCCCTCTGCAAGGCCACGGCTAGGCACCGGCAGCTGGTGCTGCAGCTCGGGGGCAGTGCCGATGGCCCCTGGCTGCGGGAGGAGCGGCGCAGGAGGAGTGCGGAGGCTCGCGAGCTCAGTGCTGGTAAGGAGGGGGCTACTGCCCCAGGCAGCGGGGAGGTGGGGGGCCGCGGGGCTGCCCCGGCTCAGCATCCCCCATCCCGCAGGGCTGCGGAGCGCTTTGCTGGCGGGGCTGCGGCAGGTGCCAGCAAGCCCCGAGGAGCGGAGGGAGCTGGAGCGGCTGTGGGTGCTCTTCCTCTCCGCCCTGGAGCTCTTCCTGCAGGACCTGCACCGAGCCCACCACCTCTGCCAGCTCTTCTCTGCTCAGGGGGGCAGCGTGGCCCCGCTGCGCACCAGGCTGGGGGGCCGGGGGCTGCTCAGCCGCAAGGGGAGCCGGCAAGGGGGGGGTCCTGTGCAGCCCCCCACCGCCCTGCGCCTGGAGGAGGAGATCGAGCAGGTGAGGGCCACGCTGGCAGAGATGGAGAGCAGAGCCAACATCCCGCTGTGGACGGTGGAGGCCACGCAGCCGGCGGGGATGGGTGGCATCGCAGCGCCTGCAGCTGGGGCAGCTCAGGGGGGGCCTCGTGCTGGGCACTGCTGCCGGGTGCTCTGACCAGGGGACAGGAGATGACGCAGCAGGGCTGGCGCCCCTGTGCACCATGGAGCAGGGGATGGGGCCCTGCATGCCCCTATAGCCTCCAACCCCCTGCCCGGGCAGGCGATGCTGGGGGCTGCCCCCACCCCGCAGAGGGAACGGGACCAGCTCCGGGCACCCCAAGCACTAATAAAGCCCCTGTTACCCCACGGGGGTCAGCGTCCCTCCCTTCTCATCCATGCCTGCAGAGGGGCCGTGGGACCCCAGGGCCGGGCTGACCGAGAGAAGGAGCCCTCCAGGCACTCACAGGGCGCCAAGCTGCAACAAAACCCCCAGAAGTAAAATTATAAACATGCATTTATTTATACATTAACTGTGGCTCGGACTGCAAAATTAATTTAAAAACAGCCTATGATACAGAAAGCTGGGGGGAGCGGCCGGACAGGGAGCGGGCAGAGACCCAGGTGGAGGGGAGAGGCGGCGCGGGTCAGGTTTCCTGGCTCTTGGTCTGCTTGGCGTATGTCTCCCGCACGTACTTCTTGTAGGCTGAGGAGAGAGGGGGGCGTGGGACTGAGGGTCCCGGGGCAGCCGCGGGGCTGGGCAGGCAGCGGGGTCGGGGGGCTGTGCCACTGCCCACCCTGGAGGGAGGGTGCCCGCCCCGGGCACTCACCGGCTTGGTTCTTCCAGAGCTCGGCGGCGTGCGTGTTCAGGGGGCTCTCGATGTTTGGCTCTGGGGACAGGAGCTGGGTCAGCGGGTGGGGTGGCCGGGCCCCCCGAGTCCCGCCCGCAGCTCTGTCCCAGAGGAGGACCCCCCAGCACCCCACCGCAGCGTGGCGGCGGGACCCACCTGCCAGCAGGCTCTGGATGGAGAGCAGGATGGTGCGGACGTCGTAGAGGGCCGACCACTTGTCCTTGAGGATGTCGAGGCAGATGTTGCCCTGGGTGTCGACGTTGGGGTGGTAGCAGGGCGTCAGGAACCGCACGGTGGGCGCGGTGTAGGGGTACCCGCTGGGGAACTCCAGCGACAGCCGGTACCGCAGCCCCTCGTAGGGCCGGGGGGCGGGGGGT